TTGTACTTTCACTTAAAGAGATTGTATCTTAGGGAGACTGGCTTCCATGATCATATTAATCATGACTCTTCCGTGCCTAACTAGTTATTGTAAGCATTAGGTTAGGAAAACGTGGTATTTTGTGACCTGCAAGCACAGAAGTAGTAGTCTTCATCTTTTAAAAGGATATCCAATTTGTGTTTTCCTATCACTCTGTTCACTAGCAGAACTGAATCAAGCAGCCAGTTTTAGTGAATATAAGTGAAATTTAGTGAAAATAAGAAAAAGTCAACCCTGTCAAATGTTTTCAAAGCAACCATTTGTTAGAAAATACATATCTTCAACAGTATTTTAAAAATATTATTGCCATCATTACACTGGATGGTGACTTATTTAACAATTAACAATGAAAACATTCTAAAAAACATGCATTTGCAAACAGAAGTTGACCCACTGCAAGTAAAATAGGAATATCAGACAATTGTTCGAGGGTTACTACTAAAACTATGCTTACAGGGGAAGGTAAAATGCTGCATCTTTTACAGCTAAAGTCCTAAGTTGGTTCAGTCTTTAATGTGACCATGGACTGCTGTAGTCAAAGAGGGATGCCAGCCTGCATGTCCTCTTTGCTTATAGTTTTCCTGATATACAAAGTGGAAGCAACAAGTATTCCCAATGCTGGGCACTTGTGAGATTTACTCAGCACCAAGAGTTTAAGATTTTCTGATTTTTAAACTTTAATCTTCAGGCTGAGCTGCTGGAAAATGCTGTTATGGCAGTTAACTCTAAAGAAATCTATTTCATTTTTCTCAATACTTCAAGAGTGTTTTTCTCTCTCAGATAATATAAATACTTTTTGTTCTTTGGGCACTGTGGTTTATAGGTAGCATGCTTAGTCGCTCTTATGAACACAGAAATAATGTAATGTGCTTCAATGATAGAGACTATCAGTGTTTTAATTTATTATTTTTCTCAATCCCTTTTTTAGTTGTTATATGTTGCAAAGTCTTAAAAAAAACTCCCATTCCCAGTTGCAATTAGCATTGAAAAGCTTAACACCAATTTTCATTCAAATATGCCGCCTCTGTAGTCATGTAGCTCCTCATCATTTTCATTCCCCAGCATTAGAACTTACTGCTGTGACTCAGACATTGTCATCCAGGGTTTTTCATTTAGTCTCATCCTTTCCTCTCCAGCATGTAAGATGCAGTAAACTCTTCACAGTTTAAGGTGTGGAACACTAAGAGAAGAGCCAAAATGATAATATCCCATGGTGCAATAAACCAAGTATAGACTCTCTGCTAAAGAAAAAAAAAAAGTTTTTTAGATTGCATATATGAAGACTAGGCTTTTTACAGTTGTGCATACTCAGCACCCAGCTGTTCTTGGGCTTATGTTTGATGTTTTATGTTCATGCAATTATATGGGATTTTCTACATTCTTCTTCTAGTCATCCTGCAGAAGTCACCTGCTTCTACTTTTATGTAAGAAATTAACTGATGCTGAGGCACTGCATGCATAACCCAGCCTGCCTCTGACCACCTGTGAAACTGTCAAAAAATCTTGTAGTCATCATTATCTAGTGGCCATTTTGCATAAACTGCAAGATAAACATGCAACAGCCGTAAGTACTTATAACAATACTTATCTTTCATCCCCTTCATCAGCGAACAGCAGCCACAAGTTGGATACTTGAGATGTAGCTGTTTCATTTATGTCCTACATATGTGATACAGACTATAAATCTATACTAATTAATTCTTAAGTATTAGGTGGTTCTAGATGGATGGTTAAAGCACTCTCTACATGTGTTTTACCGTCATCCTGAGCTTGAATTACACAAATCAAAAGCAGGAATCTCCAATCAGCTGTCACACGCTAATTAGAAACTCTCAATGTGTAATGTGAAATAAATATACATCACCTGTGCAAGTTCTGTCACTGAAGGGCATTTCAAAGTGTGTGAGTCAGCCCTTACTCTAGATGGAAAATTATTGACATGTGTGGAATACCTTGCGAACTTCTTGCACGCCCATGTCACCTCTAAGATGCCTATCTGTTCAGTTACACCTGTTTCTGGTGTGTCACAGCTGGTAGGGCTTCCAGTCACCTCCAAGGCAGCCAGAAAGACCAATAGTTGCCAGCATCTATTCAACCTGCAATGGAATTTGAAGCGCTGCATATGGCCGATGTGGAGATACAAACAGACTACATGACCCAAGCTGTCAGGTTCCAAATCAGTTTTTGTTAAGGCAATGTGGTCAGCCCCACATGGAGCCCACCTGTCGTTTAACACAGAGTTTCAATGGTCACCTGGCCCTCGGCCCTCAGCAGCAACCCAGAGTTTACACAATGCAGTCGGCCTCACTTGGAGCCCATTTATTGTTTCGATGGTGTGCTCTACACGCCTGCGGATAGAGTACCCCGTCCCTGGCTGATAAAAGGGAACAGATCCGAGATTCGTGAGTTTGGACAAAGCACAATCAAGGCACAGTAATGGTCAGCCAAACCTGCACTTTTTATTGGTCACAACTCCTGAGGGTAACGACCTGGCATAAGGAACGAGAAAGAAAGGGGAAACAGAAAGAGAAAAGAGTGAGAAAAGCAGAAATGAGGAAATGAGTAGTGGTCACCAGCCCGGATCCCGCGGGGTCCCGAGGGTCCCTCGCTGATGATCCTCAGCAGTCAGTGGTCGGTGCACACACACAGGGTCCTCTGTGGTGGTCCTTCATGGCAACAATGCTGCTGCATCATTCTGACGTGGTCGGTGGGCACCAACCCCCTTTGCAAGGGTGCTCCAGTACCAGGGTAGTGGTGCAACCTTTCGGTGGGTCATAGGGAGGCTTCTCCCCTTGGGTCTCAGCCCACAGATGAAGATAGCAATTGATTTTCTGAGACATTAAAACAAAAAATGGCAGAGCCAAGTCCCACACAGGCCCATGTAGATAATCATTACTTTTTCATGTGATGTCATGTAGTATATTCAAAAGATGGAAGGGGAGAACATCTGTGTTGAAAGGTGGAAGCCAAATGATAAAGGTCTAGTTCCAGATGTGATCTTCCTCCAGTTCTTAAAATGTTCAGTCCATCCTTATCATTCTTTGTGCCACTTTTGAAAAGCAATTTGAAGGCATTTCTGTCAATGTGCGAAAAAAAACTTAGGAACTTCCAGCAGCTGCTCGGTCTTATTTAAAAATCAAAACCACACGGAAATGCCCATCTCCCTCATTCCTCCTCCAGAAAATATTAAGAACGAAGAGCGTTCTAATGAAAGACCTCCTCATTTTTGCAATTCCTCCTCCTTCGCCCCGCGGTCCCACGAGGGTCTCCGCGCGCCGCGGGGCGCCGGCGGGCGCGCAGGGAGGGAGCCGGGGCGGGAAGCGGGGCGGGAATGGGAGGCCGGGCAGGAGGAGGGCTCTGCGCTGCGCCCCTCCCCGCGGAGCAAACCGGGCTGCCGGCGGCGGCCGCGCCTGCGGGAGCCGCGCCCGGAGCCGGGGGGGGGCCGAGGCG